CACTATCAGGAGAAGCACCTGATAGTCACCCACCCATTCCCTGATGCAGCATCCCTGGTTGCCAAGCAACAGCCCGATGCTGCGTGGAATGTCACTCCAACCTGCTTTCAGTCCAACCTGGTCTCGGTGTGAAGCGTCTAAGTCTTTCATCTCTCCCAAGCTGGCTGGAACTGGTAAAGCAGTGAATGTGGGTTGGAGATAGATTAGAGAGGATAAGCGATCAGCCAGGCATGTTCCAGTTGGCCTAGTTCTCATGGAGGTGACAAACCCACCATCGGGACTGTGACATTTCAGGTCATCACTGAACACGTTTGCATATTTGTCCTTGGAAACACCCAAGTGGTGTGTGATGGTTATTGTGTGCTCTTGGGTGGTCCAGAATCCACCCTGCATGGAAGTAACACTTCCCACGATTTGATTGTCCAACAAAAATCAGATACATTTCTGCACATTCATATCTTTTGCAGTCTATATAGTTGTGTGTCCATTGATGCACCAGAAGGATGAAGACAATTATGGACAGAAGGAACTAAGTGATACACAAGCAGTCCTGGACTGGCAGTCCCTAGAGATCATACAAAGATTTTCATCTTAAGAGCCCCAACTTGTAGCCCTAAATTGATTTTCGAATTCACGGTGTATGGCAGATGTAGTTCCTGAATCTCTAGGTTTGGTCTAACTTCAGGGCTGATGCCACACCATTGGAAAGGGCACGTATCTCTGACCTCTGTGTTTCCATTCATGTTTAAAACTAACTTTTACCAGGGAATAATGGGAAGTGTGGCAGTTTTATCACCATCGGTGAGTTGTGCCCTAAATCAGTTTTATATATTTACTTTTATTGTGCAATACAAAAACAATCAGATCGCACCATTAGAGAATGCCCTAACTCAGTTTTATGTTTGAAAGCTTAAAGGATGCGTTTTTTCCAAATTCCAGGATGAACTGTCTCATGCTACACTTCTCAAACTAATGTGCAAGTCAGAACATACTTATGGACCGGGTTTCTCACTTCTTGAATCTTCCAGTGCAATTCTTGGCTCAAACAAATGTATCGAAATAGAATTTCGTCAGCCCACTTAGCCGACTCTTATCAGCCCCGACAGGTTATATGTCTCCAGGGTTTCTGGACCAAGGTCTTTCCCATGCCTTGCTCCCTCGCCTTTTTAATGAAAGATGCAAGGAAGTAAATCTGGGGCATTTCTGCCTGCGGAACTCAGGCTCCACCATTGACTGAGCTTCATCTGTTGAATTTCTGTCTGCATGCCCTGCCCTCAGGAGAAAAGGCAGGAACCCCTCAGGAGAAAAGGCAGCAAAGCAACTCACTAGACTTCAAGTGCTGTTTTTCAATTCCACATTGGCAAAGGTAGCAGATGAAAACTGCTGCTGCTGCTGCTGTTGGAAGTCCTGTTCTCCTCGTGGAGGAGATCTGAGGATGCCGCAAGCCAACATGTAACCCAACACCCCTCTTTTGTAACCTGTGAGCTCAAAAGGGTTCTCTGGCCGTTCTTTGGCCAGGGGTGCAAGAGGGCACCCTTACCCTGTTACGATCTCCTGTTACTCTCAGAACTGCTCTTTGCAAGTCCTGAGCGGCAGCGAAGCTTGTGGTCCTACCAGCTGCAGGAAAGGGGGTGAATCGGGGCCCTCTTTAGGGTGGGGTCTTGGAAGAATTTGCCTACAGATCCACTTGGGATCCTGGCTCCCTTAAGATCAATTGAGGCCATAGTCCGAGAATGGCTGCTGCCCCATTTAAACTCAGCTGGACTTACATCTGAGTGGGTGCATATGGAATTGTGCTATAGGGCAGCGGGTTGTGTGGGGTTAATTTCCTTTCTTATGCCTGGTATTAAGACTTTGGGCACACTTCCAAGAGGGAACTCACCTGCTCCAGTCTTAGTGGCATGAGTAGAGCTTGTGTAAAAGCCCGAATCTTGGCAAGTTGGGACTGGGCAGGGTGAGGATGGATGGATTCCCAAACTGGAATTGGACAGCCATCCTCTGAAGTGGCACTCTAACTTGTATCAAGAGGGGTGCAGTCAGAGGCATCAACAGTAATCTCACTTCTTCATGAGCTCAAAGAGCACCGTCTACATACTGACAGGCTCACGGGACCTCAGTGTTTGCAGAAATACCAAAATTGTTGGAAAACAAATTCTCGGAGGAAGCGGAGGGTAACTTTCCCCACAAACGACCCACGGAATGGAGTGTCCTGGAAGGGGCCATGGTGGTTGGCTGGCTGGAATCCTGAACAGAAGCATTCCACACTGCAACGGTTTGTTGCATCCCAGTTATCCCAATGTTACCGATTCCCTCCTGTCATCGCTTTTTATATTCGAGACAGTGGCTCAGAAATCAAGGTTGAGGCACCCTAAGAGGAATGATGCGTAAGGAATCCGGAATGGGGGTCGTCTCCCTGGACTCCGGTCCACTTTCTCTCTGCCCCGAGTCTCCTTGCACCAGATGTTTGTGTGTGCATCCACCGGGAAGCGAGTCCAAGCCAGTCCGTGAGGACTTTGCATGCTTTGTGCAAAGAATTACGCACATTGCAGAATTGGTGCAAAGGCAACTAGGCTTCCCAAGCGTTCTTGGACTTGATCTCGGCCTGGCTTGCTTGCCGGCCAGAGCTGAGCGTAGAAAAGAAATTTGGCAAACATACGATCTTTGCTCTGCTACCTAAGAGCACTTTGGATCGCTGCCTCATGTTTACACGATTTCATCAAGGTTGAAGCGAACACACGACTTTGTGGACCTAAAACTCCTTTATCCCTATACTACAAAGACAAAAACATACCCTTTCATCCATCTTGATTGTCATTCAATCAACTGCTTTTCTGAAAACAAAAAGCAGTCTATCTACTGATGTCTGGAACCAGCCTGTCCATCTTGGAAATCCACGTACATCCCAGCTCCAGCCGGATCAGCTGCTTTGCTCATTTTCACCACTCCAGAGAAGTGGAACAAGTCTCTGTGCAATTTTGCCTCTTGTAACCCGCCTCTTCATGGCTTCACACCTGCATTCACAAGCACTGCTATATGCTTACTACCACAAAGGATAGGGGAGTTAGCATTTAGCACAACAAACTGGGGAGCTGGGCCTTGGTTGTTGTTGTTAACTAATTCTTTTTGTCAGAACCAGTTGGACGCATTGGTGTTCAAAGTGTTTTGGCAAAGGTTGAAAGGCCCTTAATGAAATCACATACCCCATACCATACCCTCAGTAGCCCTCAGTTTTATCCAAATCCTGCCCCTATATCATTCTGTAACTGCAGCTGAAAGAAGGCATCTCAGGGCAGAAGTTTTGTATTTTGATCTGGGTCCTTAAATATGGAGATATGAGTACCTAGGAACTAGATATCAGTTTTGCTAGATACCCATCCAAGAACTTGTTGGCAAGATTTTTGCCAACGCAAAACTTGACTCCCCCTTCCCTTCTCTCTCAGCATTTAAGTTTGGCTCTAAATTTCAACTTCCTTTTCCAGATTTCCCCAGTGATTAAAAAAGTTAACTCTGGTACCCAGAAATCAGAACATTTTCCCAGTCCAGACGGAGGGAGGGGAAAATCTATATTTGGACTCCCCATGTCTTGTTTTATTTTTCCGGAAACTAGCTATGCAGTTGGGGGTAATTATCCCCAAATACCTTTGAGGTTGGTGGTCTACTTTCATATCTTGAAGAACCTCAAGAACCTCTTTCATATCTTGACTCGTCAAGAACCTCTTTCAGCATCTTTTCAATTGTGAAGATGCTCTTGGAGGGCTGCATTGCTGTGGGGGTGGGCACAAAGATGCGCCCAAAGGGGTGCCCCCAAAGGCCAGTGCATTTTAACCTCTCCCTGCCTGTAGCTCAGTGTTTCAGAGGAACATTTCAATGTGGGGAAAACACTACACCAATGTTGGGAACCCATCAACCAATCAGAGGGCAGGCAAAGGGGGGCGGGACAAGGAGAAGGGGTGTGGCCTTCCAGGAAGCCATATTAGTTCCAAGGAGGGTTGTTTTCGGCTGGGAGGTCTCCACCCCTCCCAGAATGCACTTTGTCCACTAGTGCGCGCATGACAAAGCAAAGCGTAGGTTTCGCTGAATGAATTCCCAGGCTCTCCATAATTTTAGATACACGGTGCCCCTTGTTAGCAAAAAGTACAGGGATCCAACCCCATGCATTGCCCCCTTAATTCTAGCAGTGCTGCCCATGGTGAACACTTGCATTTCGCTTTCCAGGATTTCATTGCCAAGCCTGTACCAATCTCCTGGATGCCAGCATGCTTACGTGGGCGAGGCATTGGAATCGGCTTCGCTGATCGGCCCCCTCCCCGTGCCTTGAATCCCCCATGGCAGAAAGGAATGCAGACCCTTCTTTACATGGTTCCAAAATATTCAGGCCCTCCCCAACACATCCCTTCAAGGCTTCCTCCCCACAAGCACTCACAAATGGCTTCTGCGGCCAGCTTCGACCGAAGCGGATGGTGCTGGAAGTCATGCTAAAAAGAAATAGAAAGAAATAACATTCGAGATGGGATGCTATCCACATTCAGAACACTCAAAATCCAGATGTCAGTGCCAAAGCTCCAGGTTTACTGCCAAAATCGAGATTCGATCTGCAAGTTTTGACGCTCACGTCTGAATCTGGAACAGAAAAGATGCAAAATGCTGTAATCTCAAGGCACAGAAACTCCAGGGTCAGGTTTTCACTCCTCTTTTTGTGCAATGTTGTTGGTTGTCGCGACGGCAAATCCTATTTGCTACATTCACTTCCGCTTTCATCACAACATTCAAAACAACCCAGCATGGGTGAATTGACTGTCCAGCTGTGGAGCACACGGCTGATCTGGTGTGATTCCTACTTGATGGACTAAATGGTTGGATCAGTGGAGCCACTGGGGTTGAGCGCTTCTCCAAAAAGTGGCTCCAGATTTCAGGATGTGCTTGAAAAGACCAGCGCCAAGGTGTGACCTTTCCAGAAAAGCGACTTCAAAATGGCTGTGTGTGTTTCCCCTCAGCCCCCGTTACTCAGTGTCTTTTGAAGTGGGGGGGCTTGTGCCATTTTGCTTGCGTTGCTCCCCTTTGGAAGATGGCTTAGGTTTGCCCATAGTTCTGATGGCGCTTGCAGTTTCGGCCGGGTCCTGGTGGGGCTGCTGACCTGCCTTCTGCCTGCCCCCTTTGGGGGGGCTCTGGTCTGTCGCCATTTTGCTGGACAAGGCTGAAGCCCGGTGCTCTGATTTCAGGTGGGGAGTTGGAGCATGGTGCCGTTTCGTGTATAAAAAAAGGGCTGGGTCAGGCATTGATTCGATGTCTTCAAAGCTGCTTAGCTTGTCCCGAGAGGGCAAGTCCTTGAAGGCCCCTTTGCTGTGGAAGGAGCTGGCAGCGTGCCGGCGGGGGTGTGACTTCGGAGTCCGCTTTTTGGGCCTGGCCTCCCCGCAGGGCTGAGGAAGGAAGGTTTTCTCAGTTGGTCTCTCTGGAGGGGGCTTATTGCTCTGCCGTGAGCTGTGAAGTCTTTGCTTGGTTGAGTGCAGCTGGAAGGAAAGGTAAGCAGCTGCCTCCGTTTCCTTCTGCAGCTCCGTGTTAAGGACCGTCACCCGGTGGCTTCTCCTCTTCAGCTCCTCCAGGAATTTCCGCTCCTTATTCCTCAGGTTGGACCGAAGGGCAGCTACCAAACTCTCCTTATGCCTCAGCTCCCTGCGCAACTCCAGGTTGTCCTTCTCTTTCTCCTGCAACTGGGCTTCCATAATCTTGCATTTTTCTTCCAGTTCCTGGTCAATAATATCTAAATTTTCAAGGAAAGTGGAAAGGAAACAGAGAAGCAAGTTATTATTCCAAAGCACAAGTTCCCGGCATTCAGTCTTAGGAAATTAACCCACCTCAGGAAATCATTTCCAACTCTTCCTAAACCTGAAGCTGCATAGCTTTAATGCAGGGTTCAGATCTGAGTTCACATCCTTTATACCTTGTCTGGAAGTGCCTCAGCTGTTAGAAAGGAAGCTCCAAGAAGCTTCTTGCATTAGAAGTGTTGGATGCTCTAAGAAAATGCAGGCATTTGGTTCACTTCGCCCAAAATTTGCATTGTCCGAAATCTGGCAGAAATTTGATATTTATTTCAAACACTTGCATGCCCCCCATTTCTCCCATGGCATCTCTAGGTGGATAACATCAGACAATTAAAATACATTATGAAACAATAAAATGACAACATAAGATAATATAAATGTAAGACCCAATAAAATCACATTAATACAACTGAAGCTTAGGTGGCAACAATAGATGTTTTTTTAAAGAGGTAGTTCTTTGCCTGGCACAGAAAGGGTCTAAAGAAGGTGCCAGGCGATCCTCCTTGGGGAGAGCGTTCCAGATGTTGGGAGCGGCTGCAGAAAAGACCCTCCTCTTAGCAGCTACCCTTCTCAAGGGATGACTAATACAAGAGGGCCCCCTGCATTGATCTTAAAGGCCGAGTAGGCATATATGGGTGCAGGCCCCCCTTTAGGTAGCCAGAGGCCAAGCCGTTTAGGGCTTCATATGTTAAAACAAGCACAGGAGTTCTGGTGTAGGCAATCATAGGGCAACCTGCAGCTTTGGAGCAAGATCTGGGCGTTCAGGCCCTCCCTTCTCACTGCCATTCCCCTAACCCCAGATCAGTTGGTGGTTTCCCCAGCATCTGTGCAGTTTTCCCTGCTTGCCTCCACCTCTTATGGCTCTTCCCGCGCAGCCAGATTCTGGGATGGGGCCGCCCTTTTCTTGGCAAGGCAGACCCTTCTAGGATTATCCCGGTATCTTTCTGTTGGAGCATAAGTCACACCAGAGAATCCAGAGCAACCTGCTGCTAATTTTTGGCAACGTATTTTGGGAAGGGCAAAATGATGGAGGCATTTGCAAAGCCCATGGCTCTTAATCCATGGTAGGCTTTTTTTCCCTGAATGTGAGAAGTTGCTAGGCGTTCTCTTCATCGCCGACACCCACAGGTCTGACAGAGCTGTGCAGAACGGAGCACATCCGCCTCCTAAGCTGGGCAGAACAGCCTGCTCAGTTGCCACTCCATCAATCTTCAGTCCTAGAAGCTTTGCCATGGCAGCTAAATAACCAGCTAAACTCCCCAGTGACAGACTGCCCGATTTTCTTTGGATCTCCCCATGAGTAAAGCAAGTATTATTACTTGCAATGCTTGGTGTCCCACCTTTGCAAAGGACCCAAGGCGGCCCGCCAATCCTCTTTCTCCCAATCTTTGCTCGTAACCACTCCGTGAGTAGTTTAATCTGAGAGTCAGCGACTGGCCCAAAGCCATCCAGCCCAGCAAGTCTGATGCTTGGATGGGGACTTGAACTCATCCCTGTCCACCCTTTAGCCACGATGCCACACTGCTTCCACAGGTGGCCCATGGGGGAAAGGAAGGGCCATCAAGTGTGTCATCAAATCCCAGGTTTTTGTTCAGAAGGTTTATTAAGATTAAGACTCCCACCCCTTTCCTCCACCTTGGTTCTGTCTTTTGCACAACAGCTCTGTGGATATGTGAAGGGGAGCCCTTCACCTTCACTTCTCCAGGCTAAATCTCCCCTCCCCTCTCTTTCATGTATCCCTCCCAGGATGGGTTTTCCCGAATGCTTCCGGCCTGCCCTTGCTGAGATCGAGGTTCTGGTGAACCGTACAGTAAATGGGCAAGTTCCAACAATATCTGGGGCTTGCTCAGCGTTCCAGAGGATGAAGCCTGCGGGAGCAGTACTCTGGTAAGGACAGCAACCAAAAAGCAAGAGGAGGGCCAGGCCAGAAGGGGCAGAGGCTCAACGTTCAGAAGCTGAGTCAGCATGCAAGGGGAGAAGGGTGTGTGGGAAAGCCTGCACCCTTCCAGACGCTGCTGAGCCATGACTCGGGTTGGCTGCAGATGATGGGAGCTGAAGTGCCAGAGCATCCAAGCACTGCTTTCTCCCACCCTGCACTGGGAGCAGAATTCACAACCAGGGCTGGATTAAAGCCATGACGTGCTCCGGGCTTGCGGGACGAAGACTCCCCCTGCCCCATCAGCTTTCCCCTAACTCTGAGCTCACACACTCGCCAACGCAGACGGGTGTCCAAGGAAACACAGCCGTGCCAGATAAAAGGGTGCTTTCCATCTCCCCTGTTTTCCTGGAAGCTGCTGATTTAAGGCTTCACACGACTACTCAGGAGTCACCCTTCTGAACATGCAGTTCAGCTTTACGCAACCGTCTCTGCACCGCTTCTCCACGGGAAAGGGGTCATTCGATCACCGAAACTGCCTTTCCAGGGACACGATGCAATCTCTCTGCCCCAGTGGATCTGCGCCCTGTGCCAAATCTGCCTGTCGATCGCTGACCGCCTTCTGACCCTCACTTTGCCCAGCTATGTCTGCCGTCTGCGGCTTTATTTCCCTCAGCATCACTCTATTAAATCTCTTTGACAAGCCCGTAACTTTGCCCTTGTTCGCTCCTGAACTGGAACCTGACCTGGGGTGCTTCAAAGAAGTTGCCTGGTTTTCCACCCACCACAAGCAAAGTGTCTTTGACAGGGACTGAGAACCCAAGAGCAGACCAGATGGATTCAGGTCTATGGTCTAGAGAGTCTGGATAAAATTACAGTGAAGCCTTCTAAAGCTCTGCTTTATGTTGGATTTTCAGCACTCCTGGCCACTGAAGTTCAAAATGTTTGGAGGGTAACAAAAAATTAGAAGACCATAGAATTGGAAGGGACCTTGGAGGTCACCCGGTCCACATCCCAGCTACCATGTCGCTGAGAGATCTCAGAATCAGAGAATCCTGGAATAGTGGAGTTGGAAGGAGCCGCTGGGTCCCCAGCCCCCTGCTCAATGCAGGACTCCAAGTCAAGGCATCCCCCTCCAATGGCTGTCCAGTTGCATCTTGAAGGCCTCCAGAATGGGAGAGCCCCCAAGCTCCCTGGGTCATTGGGTCCATTGCCGTTCTGCTCCATCAGTCAAGACGTTCTTCCTGATACCTAGCTGGAATCTGGCTTCCTGGAACTTGAGCCTCTTCTCTGTGTCCTGCATTCCAGGATGATCAAGAAGAGATCTTCTACTTCAGAAACATAGAAACAGAGTGAAGGTCAGAAGGGGCCTTCCAGCCCATCTAGTCTGACCCCCGGCTCCAGCCAGCTCCACTCATGACATGCTTTATGACAGCCTTTCCGATACCTTTCCGGTACCTCTCCTGTCTCCCCTCAGTCTTCTCTTCTCAAGGCTAAACATGCCCAGGACTTCGTCTCCAGTCCCTGGATCATTCTTTTCCCTCCTCAAGACCCTTTCCAACTTGTCTGCACCTTTTTAAAACTCTGGCACCCAGAACTGGTCACAGGACTCCAGATTAGGCCTAACCAGTGCTGAGTAAAGGGGAACCAGAACTTCATGGGATTTGGAAGAGATTCTTTTATGATGCAGCTCCAAATAGCATTTGCCCTTTTTGCAGCCACATCACATAGTTGGCTCATATTTCGCCTGTGATCTCCAGCTATTCCAAGATCCTTCTCACTTGCAGTGTTGTTGAGCCAAGTATTCCCCACCTTGTAATGAGGCATTTGGTTTCTTTTCCTAGGTGTAGAACTTGGCACTTGTCCCTGCTGAATTTCATCCTGTTGTTTTCAGTCCAATGTGTCAAGATCACCTTGAATCTTCATACTGTCTTCCATGGTATGAGCTACTCCACCCAGTTTGATGCCACCCAGTCCCAGTTCAGAGAGCCCCTGTGAAGGAGAGGTCGTGACCTCCCAAACCAGTGTGCTGTGCAGCAAGGCTCCTGGGTGACGTGTTGGCCACACGGCACATGAGATGGGAATCGAATGATGGCAGAGGGTGTGCCTCTGTGTGCCCCAGTGTCACCTGGCCCTTGGAGGCCACCTGGGTGGCCCTTCAGCGCCCATCCCACATGACTCGCCTGCCCTCAAAGTAAGTGGGTGGCAAGTCCACTCGCTGCAGTTTCCAATTTTCATTTGAAGTATCTCCAAACACACTGAAGCTCTGGGAAAGCAGTGCTTCTCTTGTAACACAAATCCATTCAGAGCGGGGATTAACCATGCACAAACTTGTCCAACTGTGTTCCAGTCAGTCGCTTCCTTCAAACCTTTCCAAAAATTATACACTCCCTTTCATGCTGCTGCTGTAATGCACCTCCTCTGAGTGGATCCTCGGGAGACCTGCAAGGGAGGAGGACGAATTAAACCACTGCTACAAGTTGGAGCAATTGCTTTAGCGGATTGCCCCATCCACTGCCAGGAGAGCCAATGAGCAGATAAGCAGCAGAGCTGTGTGGGCAAGGAGCCCATGGGAGTGGGTGCAAGGGAGACCCTCCCTTGGGGATGGCCAGTGATTCAGTTGCCCCGCGAAAGAGGGCGGTGATGAAAGGCACTTGCTGATGCATCGTTCACCCCTCTTCCTCACGGGCTTGCTCAGCTCCACTTAGGCGTTTAGGCATCACTGAGTCATCTTGGTGTTGTCACCCGTGTGCGTCCCACCTCGTTCTTTGCGAGCATGGAAGGACCATAGCTCGACGGTGCTTTCCTCGGAGCAGCTCTTCGGTTCTGTCCCTGGAAGGTCCAGGCTGCCGGCCACTCTGCAAGGCTGTGGTGGACACTTTCTGGTGACCATACCGGGCTCGATGAACCAAGAGTGTTTCCTCCACTCCATTGTTGCTTCCCGGGTGGAGATGTTCTCAAGGCTCTTGCTCTTTCCACTGGGCCTTGCTGCCCAGCCAAGCAGGAAAAAGGGTTGAGGAAACAAGCCCAGAGGAGGCATAAAAGAACCAAATGCCATTCATTCCAGAGTGTGACTGAAGCGACTTCCACGCAGAATTCTGCCTCCATATATGTCGTTTGCAGATTTGCGTGTTTTGCACAAAGTCAAAAGGGTTGAGGAAGAACAAACCAAGCCCAGAGGAACCATAAAAGAACCAAATGCCATTCATTCCAGAGTGTGACTGAAGCGACTTCCACGCAGAATTCTGCCTCCATATATGTCGTTTGCAGTTTTGCGTGTTTTGCACAAAGTCGTGTATTTTGCACAATGGACTACGCACTTGCACAAAGAAGCCGTTCATGATGCCGAGTGTTTGTGGATTTGATTTCTGCCAGGCTCGCTTGCTGGTCACGGCCAAACCTGGGAAAGAAGTCTGGTGAGTGCAAAGGTGACAGATTAAGACCTGATGGTCACATCCTTAATTCGAGGAATCGTACACATTGCGTGCACATCAGAATTCACCCAGAAAAAGGCAGGTATTGGAATGATGTCTCCAGAGCTGCTGTGTACCAGATCCATCCCATGGCTTGGAAATGGAAGAGGAGAAGGACCAAGCTAAGGAGAGGAGGACCAAGCCAAGAAGGAGAGGAGGACCAAGCTAAGGAGAGGAGGACCAAGCCAAGAAGGAGAGGAGGACCAAGCCAAGAAGGAGAGGAGGACCAAGCCAAGGAGAGACCAGTCTGGCCACTGCCCTGTTTGCCACAGCTCCCAAGCAGGGGGTAAGGGCAACAGGCTTGGTGCAACCGGAAGGACCTCCTGCCCCAGGGCGAAGGATGCCTCAAACGGATCTTTTTCCCATCCTGCAGATGTGCTGAGGTTTTCTCCAGGGCTGGAAGCATGCGATGGCTCTGAGCCCTTGGGAGGGTGCCACAAAAGCAACCTGGAGAGAGCTGCGGGCTGGAGTTTGGAAGGCGTGCTTTTGTGGGCGCTGAGGCTTCCTCCAGGGCGCGGCCGGAGAAAGGGAGGGATAAATCTGCAGCTGGTCTTGCTGAGGCCGACTTCCTTCAGCATTCCATTCACCTTAGATTTCCTGCCACTGTCTAAGCCTCAACTATCTTTGTAGTGCCGGCAGACCCGCCCTTTGCCTTGGGGCCGAGGTGAGGCAGGCCTGCTGTTCTGCTTGCCCCGATACAAGAGCTTCTGCCAGCGATAGAGATCTTGGGACCTTTTCCGTGCCTCTCCACGGATCAGACTTCGCCAGGCCTGAACTGGGACGTCTGCTTATTATTTATTTATTCAACTTGTATTCCGCAGAGGACTCTCTAAGCTTCTAGTCCTTATGATGGAAAGCAGTCTTTCCCCAGCCTGGTGTCCTCCAGATGGGTTTTATTTATTGATTTAAAACTTTTTTTAGACCATCCCTTACCTTGGTCTTGGGACAGTTTAACAATAAGACAAAATAGAATAGAACACAGCATCCTAGTCCAATTCTTAACCAATCAACAATAAAACCCATATTAAAACAGTCAAGGCTTAAAACATAGGGGAAATAAAAAGGCTTTAGATGGCAGTCCCCCTGGTTCCGAGTTGTCCCTGGGAAAGTGGTCTGGGGAGGATGGGAATTGTAGTCCCACACCTATGGAAGGAAAGCTGATATACAAATTATCTAAGCATCATAGGCTGTGATCCCATGCACGTTCACCTTGGGTTCAGTCCCATTGAATTCAATGGGGGCCACTGGTATAGGGCTGCACCAATAGACTCCAAGGTTTATGATTTACCAGACGCAGCCCCTTTGTTCTGCAACATGAGCCTGTTCAAGCATTTCCCTAATGGGAAGGAGGTGGGGGAAAGAGATTTTGAAGGATGCCTTTGAACTCGAATGTAGCTGGACATTTATCACGCAAGTACCCTGAATGGGTTACATTTTTCAAAACGTTAACAGAAGCAGCAGCTGCTCAGGATCAGGGCCAGCAACCACAAAAACCTTCCTTCTGGTGGTAGCAGGATGGCAGGGGGTGTTGTTATTTATTTATTACATTTTTATACCAGCCCATAGCCCATGGGGCTTTCTGGGTAGCTAACAGAATAAGAAAAATATAAACTAGGGAAAAAACCAGTGCAGTTAATAACTTATACAATATTCTAGTTTTTCAACAGTTTGCAGTTCCCCCAGAGAACATGAGTTACCGGGAGATGACAAAGACGATGATTTATTTCATCTCTGTACTACCCCATAGCTGAAGCTGTTGGTCAGTTCACACCAATTCATAAAAACCAGGCCACAAAATACAATAAAAACACCGTAACGTCAAGGAAACATTAACAAGTTTTAAACAGCTAAAACAAGCTGCAAAGAATGACTTTCTGAAAGACTGGATTGGGAAGAACAAGTAGGTACAAGAGAACATGTAACACCAGTGAGACGTGGGGTGCAGGAGGGCAAAAGCTCCACCCAGAAGGTTCCCCGCAAGCTCCTTTTGTCCAGTTTCTCAAATTACCTGTGCACTGCTAGCTTAAGTCAAAGGAGGGAACATTAGGAGAAATCGTGACCAGTTTGACAGTGGGACCATGACCCTTTCCCTCTTCAGAGCTGATTCATCAAAGCCGGATCTGTTTGGGGCTCAGCTGTGGTGGATTTCTTACATCCGTGAAAATTGGCCAAATGCCCTTCAGGATTGCTTCCTACCGTCTGTGATTTTAAGTAGGGATGTGTGAACAATCTGGCTTGGGATTGGAAGTCCATCAGATTTCCCCAGCTTGGCTCCATGGACTCTTGCTTGCTCTCTCTCTTCCTCAAGCCTGCCTCACACTGGACATTTGCGTGAGTGTCTGGCAGGTCGCAAGTTCAAACAGACTTCTGCCTCCATACATGTAGCTATCCACCTTTGCATTCTTTGTGCAAGGGTTTGCCCATTCTGCAAAGTTGTGTGTTTTGCACAAAGGACTATGTACTTGCACAAAAGCCGTTCGTGATGCTGAGTGTTTGTGAATTTGATTTCTGCCAGGCTCACTTGCTGGTCACTGCCAAGCCTGGGAAAGAAGGTGAGCACAAAGGTGTTCAATTCAAACTTGATTGTGACACCCTTAATTCGAGAAATCATGCATATTGCATGCACAGTAATAATTCACCTAGAAAAAGGCCGGTACTCCTCTTGTACTGGTGCAGGGTTTTTTCCACGGGTGTTAGCAAGCAGCCACCCAGCAAGGCTTGTGACATCTGCTTGTTCCAACCTGCACTGATAAATCTTTCAAACAATACCATCGCTTAGTGTACACATAGTGCTGGTAAAGAATGAAGCCATGCTAGACCAGTAGAAGCTGGTAGGGTGTTCATTTGGCGCCCCCTACTGGAGTCGGAAGGCTAAGAGTCAGGACTGCGCCAAACATATACACTTTTGGAGAGTGGATAAAGGCAAATAATTTCAAGACATTTAGCTCTGGTTACTGGCTGTCAAGTATTCTACAACTTCAGGTGACCCTCGCATATTCCATTGGCTCAAAAAGTCTCCCAGGGAGAATCCGCATCTAGAACTCATGTCAGTATTGAAGATTCCTGCACGAATCTGGTCCTGCCTTCTGCGTGCAAAACATTCCAGGCTTTCACTGAGCTAATGTGAAAGCTTGCTTGGGTTGTTACTGCACAGAAGAGGTGTGTACAGGAGAGCTGATGGCAACCCCTTTGTCTTACCTTGCTGCCTGGCTTCTAATTCCTTCATCTCGAGATCGTGGGTCAGCTCTAGGAGAGAAAGAGAGAAGTTGCATCATCTGTGCCAGCGACAGCAACGATTTCTAATTCTAGACGCAGTAGGATGATGCCGGGTGAGGGGTTACCCCTTCAAGCTCGTTTCAGGAGAAAGATGGCCAGCCACTTTGCAACCTCACGTGCTTTGGCCTCAGCTCCAGAGATTACCCCCAAGGAGATGCCGACGTGATGGAAAAAGGTCTCCTACTCCTGGGATAATTTTATGCTGAAATTATCAGGACGGTGGCTCCCAGTTCAAGCCTTGATGTGGTCTTGCAAGGCTTTGACCGGGGTTGACAAAACAATGAGTTTGGAGGTGGGTGGGGCTTGAACAACAGGTGGGGGGTAAGTGAGCAGATGGATAAACTGGGGAGATAAAGCATGGAAGAAGTTGGCTGAAGCAGGCCACACAATCCAGGCCCAAACTAAGACCTGGATCCGACCCCAACAGATTTCTAACTCGGCTTTTCCCAGCCTGGTGTCCCACCAGAGTCTTTGACTCCCATCAGCCAACATCAGCATAGCCAGTGGCTGAGAACGATGCAAGTTGTTGTCCAGAACGACCGGAGGCAGTCGGGCAGAGTGCATCTTTTAGGTGATGCATTTTTGGGAGGGGGTGGAGGTAGGTGGGGCTTGGAAATACAACACTCGAAGACCTTTTGGGGAGACAGTCTGGGCCTCCCACATGGAGCAATCCTGCATGCTGCGTTTCACAGTCCGGAGTCAGCTGTGCATTCCTGTCCCTCCTGCCACCCACTCCAAACTGGAATTCCTTGGTTGGGGAGACCAACCTGGCAAAGAAGCTTCACGAGCCTTCATTATGAGAGTGATGCATTTACAATTGGCAAAGAACCAAAGCAGGACTCTTCTACTCCACCTTATCCTCACAACAACAGCCCTGTGATGTAGGACAGGCTGAGCATCTGGGACTGGCCCAAAGTCCCCCAATGAGCTTCATGGCTGAGAGGGGACTAGAACCTGGATTTCTTTGGTCTCCAGTCCAGCACTCAGCATCATACTGGTCCTCAATTTTATTACGCTCCATTCCAGAACAGCAGGAGAAAATCTTTACACTTGAACTGCTTTAGGGCTTTAGAACTATTTAGGGTTTGACTTTGAGCTGGGCCTGGAAACTGGTGCAGATGGCAAATCACACGGCCTGGCTGGGAGAACGCGCTGTCTAGTTTTTCTTCGCTGTCCGTATTTCCAGTCCTGCAAAAACAGGTCAGTTCCCAGGGGTGGTTACATTACTGGGGCACAGAGCTCTCTGCTAGGCAGAAAAAAACACGACACTCTTCCAACCCCTTTTGGGCACGGGGTCCACTGAACAAGCAATGGGAAAATCCAGGGGCTTCTTCTCACACCATTCGCAGCATACGTAAAAAATGGACAGCAAGAAATTAGTGCCATTTTTTAAAAACCTGACAGATAATTAAATCCTAAATCTGCTACTAGAAGCATCCACCACATTTAACCTCATGACAGGGGTAACTCAAGGGGGGGATGTTACTACCAAGCATGTTCTTCATGTGGAGAACCCCCCTCCCCTAACTGGATCTGGGGTCCAAGATCCAATTCACCCAGAGTCATCGTATTGTGGCCACTCAGAGTTTAAAGCCCATTGAGTTCGATGGAGTATACCTGGAGTTGTGTGCACAGAATTGCAAGATGGTGCCTAGTTGACCAGTGGAATTCCCTTCCACTGGATGTCATCATTTTGAAGAATTTAACATGATTGGATAATATCTTCATGGAGGAGAAGCCTTGAGGGAGTTGGAATCCTACAACATCTGGAATGCCAGAAGTTCCTCTCCACCCTGGAACTAGCCATGACCTATCCTTGCCCTCTGATGTCGATTCTTGACTTTTTAGCTAGAAATTGTTGATTCTTGACTCCTGCTATTCTCTCTCTCTCTCTCTCTCTCTCTCTCTCTCTCTCTCTCTCCCCCCCCCCTCTCCCTCTCCCTCTCCCTCTCCCTCTCCCTCTCCCTCCCGCGGATTACTACTAGGCCAGATTCCTCCAGTATCCATAATGGGCTCATCCTCAGCAAAATTAGATACAACAAGTTTAAAGCAAAACCAGTGAGCAAAAATGGCACATGTCACAAAATCCTCTTTTTCTTTGGTTTCTCTTTAGCCAAACCTGACATTTCTGAGGCAATTAATAGGATGCCATCAAATTAAGAATGACAGGGAAGCTGCACGGGGAAGTGACATTTAGAAACATAAGGTGGCCAGTGGAAAAGAGCTGTAATATTTCTTCATGGTATTCGCTAAAATGGGCTTTCCTGTTTCATGTAATCTTCTTTGTTGGAGAATTGCTGCATGGCACCAGAATGTTGAGAAAGTAATTCATATGTTCATCACTTTTTTCCTCTCTGAAGATCCTCGGGGAATGAGAACAACGGCAGAAACCTTTACGTCAGGGAGAATGCCTTACAATTTACTAGAAATCCGTTCTCATCTCTCTCGCCATCCCATTAGAAATCAGGGAGTGCACGACATTTTTTTCTTTCTCTCTGCAGCTAAAAACAACTCCAAATTAGGAACACAGTGAAACATCTCAGGTCCCTGAGGAAAAGGTCGGCTGAGGAGAAATGTAGCATTTATGTGTGATGGTATACATGGGATGGTTATTCACACGATTCAGGTTCAGCCTTTGACTTATCTCGGGTGAATCACTGTGAGAACATGAGCTCAGCAACAAGGCCATCTCAGACGTTTGTACCATCACCAAGCCAAACTACACATTCCTCTAAAGGTGTCTCTGGAAACTGCATATCTCCATGTGTTTCCACCCTAAAACTGGATGCAGCTGAAACATTTTCATTTGTATATGGACAATCATGTCCCAGGACCATGAGAGGTGTCAGAAATTTCCAGTGCTGGCTGCATCGCACCTCCTACATTTTATTCTCACCTGACCCTCTTCTTCCTGTTCTGCTCTCCTTAAGAGCTAAATAGTCCCCTTGTGGGAAGCCCTGGGGATGGCCCAGCACCTTGGATCACCAGATGTCTCTTTTCTACTGGAAAAAAAATATCTCCATTGGCACCATTTTTATAAGTCTGACTGCACTGGGGATAGGGTGAGTTTCTGCAGGGAAATGAGTGTCGGGAAAGGAAGGGTTAGCTTTTCCTCCTTCCATGCAGTGAAGCTTTTTAAGAGCCTCCATTGATCCCGGTAAGCCTGAAAGTTGCATGGGGCAGGGATCCATGATGGGAGATAAGGCAGGGAAATGGATGGGCTGCTGATGGGAATTCTCTGCTCACCACCAGTTGGACTAGTCAGCATTGGAGCTTGGTGGACCAACGGCTTCAGCCGAGGCAGCTTCTGCTGCAAACACAAACTGGCTTTTGGAGGAACATCAGACTGGTGGTTCTGCTATCTTCTTGGATCAGCTTCAACCACAGCTTCATATCGATCATTCTGCATGCAAGGCCGTAACCCCCAAGGTCTTCATCCAGTATGTATGCAAGGTGGCTCCAACCACAAGATCCTAGCATTTCCACCAGGAGATTTAGGGTTGGATTGGAATAGCCTGATACAAGCGAGTCTCTCATTCCCGTGAGCCCTGGGACCAGGGCAAAATTAGCCCAGGCAGTTCTGGAAATCTTGCTGACTTTGAGCGGAATTTAATCCCTGGAGGGACCAGAAGCATCGGAGCGAATGATAAGCCTGTGATTATGTAATGGCAGCACTTACGTGACCATCTTACCTCTTGGATTACAGGCTGACCTCCTTCGTTCCTTCCCCAGTGACCTTGCTGCCCCAAGCAGAGGCTGCTAAGAAACCACACGGCTTTGGGACTCTGCATCTAACAACCTAAAAGATTCAGGAATGGCTTCCTTTAAAAGCAGCTTTTCTTCCTACTCAGCATGCGCCGGAAATAATGTTATGTTTTTTGCACCAGAACCCATAGGAATTGGGTGCCTGTGGGGGGCAGGGTGTGAGAGAAAAGAGATCAGCTGCTGCTCTTGGGGCTTCGACTCTTTGAGTTGATCTCCCAGCCACCTTCTGTCTGAGATCCCCTTATGGGTGTTTGCTCCTTGCTCTTGCTCCTTGTTCTTCTCTGTCACTGAATTTTCCCCCTGTGGGAGCCATGCAAGAATTCTTTCCCAGGTGCCATGTGTGTGTTTCTGCTTCTGGATAAAAAGGGGACTGAAGAGGTTCATGGCAGAGGTGGCTATCCATGGCTACTAGCCGTGCTGGCCATGAGCTTCCTCCTTTACCAGATGTGGCATGCCTGCATCTGGCAGTTGCTGGGGACCTTGGGAACTCTTGTACCCATTCTTCTTGAGGGATCTGGTGAGCAGCTGGCTTGCCACCAGGTGAACTGCTTGGACCACTGGTCTGATCCCGCATGGCTGTTCTTGCGTTCCTTTATTCCTTTCTGCCTTCCTCAGAGAAATATCAAGTTGATGGATTTCTTGCATTTTATTATTGATCAGCAACCAAACCGAATGTGTTATCTGAGGTTCTAAAAGAGGAATGTGGAGTTTTCTCTTCCAGGAAATGCAGAAAGAATGAGAGTGGGTGGGAATGGGGAGTGGGCACTTTTGGCATGTATTTATGCTGGATGGGAGATGTGCCAAATTTGCTCTTGCTTATGTCAGATGAATTCCAATAAATGACTCATTCTACCAATGTTAACAGCTTTTCTCTTCCTGTAAAACCTGCATCTAGAAATATTGGTTGACAAGAAGAGATGAGTTTACACATCTCTTTCATAACTGCTCACAGAACACAACTGTGTTTGTATAACAACATGGTAGAGTCCTCTCAGAGCTGCAGGATTTTGGTTTGCAAGTGAAAGAATCGCATGTTGCTCTCCTTGTTAAAAAAAAATCAGGGGGAAAGTTATGATGTGATCTCATACTGTGACTGCTCATGTTCATAAAATTGCTGCATGTGGAATTACCAGGGGAAACATGCTTCTCCAAGGTATGTTAGCTAGGCTTTTGCCCTGGTAGTTTGATCTTCTGTCTTTCCTTGCACGGATGGGTTTGCAGGCCCCTGATCATCTTCACTGTCCTCTCTAAACCTTTCCCAGTTAGTTGCATCCTCGATCATTTTGCATTAAGGACGGAGCTGAACCCCAACCTTCTCCACAGCCTTCTCCAATCTGGTTCCCATCCAGTATCTCAGACCACAACAGTTGCGAGCCCCCGCCAGCATGAACACTGAGAGCTGCTATCCAAAACATCTGGAGGGTACTAGGCTGATCTTGCAACTCTCCCTGAACTACCAACATTCTCCAAATGTTTTAATGGGGCAATGATTTACCAAGCAGAGATACTGCAACTTTTGAACAAATAGTCCTGATGGTAAACAGAGACGACTGAAGTGTTGGGCTTTGTGCCCTTTCCTGCTTTATTGTTATTTAATTAATATCCCTCTTTTCCTGCACATCCAAGCCTGCCAACAACCCCTCGGCTATAACTAGCATCCCACCCAGCTTAGCAAGCATTCTGGGGTACATAATGTGTAAAACATTTCCTACACAGGAAGCTTTATCTGTAATGTGCACGATGGCCAGGCAAGCAAAGCGGGAGGACAAATGGATGTGGTGCATTAGCTTCTTTAACGAGTTCTCTGTTTATGCATTAATGGAGAGGGAAGGCACTGAGAAAATAGAGCCTCTCTCGTTTGTCATTTAGGAACACATGTTTGCTTTGTTGCGATGATTGTGCAATCGGGGGGGGGGGGAGTTGTCCTAGTGCTTCCATAAAAAGAAACTGCAGCTAGGCAAAATTTCTTAAGTGAGCAGGAAAATAGATCCCTCTGTTTTGCAGAACAGAGGCAGAAAATGCAATTCTTGCTTCCGGTTTGTACTGGAAGAGGCAGGCCCAGGCCGAAAATGGCCTGGAGCTTTGGTCTCCATCCAGCCCAGTGTGCATCTTCTCAGCTTCCTCCCCAGACCCTGCCCTGAGAGAGGGGAAGGGGCTTATCTTGGGATTGCAGCAGACTTGAGATAAGCCTTGTGCTGCAGCTGGGAAAAATGTGTTGTCTCCGATCAGCTGCTCCTTGCCAGCAGGAGCTTCTTTCCAGGCTGAAACAGCGAAAGGCCTTATGTCCAGTTAGGAGTGCATCAGAGATAAGAAGTTTCGTACCACCCAGTGATGGGAGAGGCTCCCTTGCTTTGCCTGGGCAGGGAAAGAAACATAGAAACAGAGCGAGTCAGAAGGGGCCTCCAGGCCATCTAGTCTGACCCCCGGCTCCAGCCGGCTCCGCTCACGACATGCCCACCATGTGCATGTCCAGCCTCTCCTTGGACACCCTCACCGATGGGGCCTCAACCACCTCTCCTGGAAGCCCATTCCATGCCCTAGGGGTCTGGACCCTCAGGAAGTACTTCCTGGAATACACCTTAAATCTTGGTTCCCTGAGCTTTGCTCCATTGGAATGTGCCCTTCCCTCCTCTGCAGGGGAAAACAGGTCTCCACCCACCTCTGCGTGGCACCTCCTCACGTACCTGCATGCCGCTTACAGGTCCCCTCTGAGTCTCCTCCTCTCCAGGCTGAAAAGACCCAGCTCCCTTGAGAAGTGTGTCTCCAATCTACTGTTAGAGAGAAGCTCTTTCTCCTGCTCATTCCTGAGAAAAGGGGCCTCTCTCAGGCCTGTGTGAGGAACCAGTCCCCGGCAGATACATCTGGATCACCTGAGGAAGCTGGGCAGGGCAGGTGTGTCTCGGCAGAATGGGATGTGCGTGTGAACGGGCATGTCGATGCTACGCAATTGTGTGTGAGCGGGGCAAGTGTCTCTGAAAGTGTGTGGGAAGTGCATCCGAGTGGTGGACTCCAGCCACCCTCTGCTGGGCTATGGCCAAGTTGGACCTCAGGCCGAAAACGGCTCCCCAGCCTTGCCTAAGGTTTTCAGATGAAATTTGGGCACAGGAGATGCTTGCTCTTGAGGGAGCCATTTTGAGCTATGGGAGAAAAGGGCCCACTTTAGGTCTTCTTTGTCTGGAGTGTTTCTTCCTGAAATTATGCTTGGGATTAATTGCTGAAATGACATCTGTCTTTTGTGGGATGCCTCCTCGGACTCGGGCAATTGTCTTCCCTTGGGGGTTCCCCTAGTTCTACAGAGACTCACTCTGCCTTCTATCCTGAACTTGTTTCCTGGGAGTTTTCCTAGATCCCAAGGCTCCTGTTTGTCAGCTTCCCCATTTGGCACCCTCCAGATGTTCGGACTGCAAATTCAGCCAGCATGGACAACAGTAACATCTGGAGAGCCAGGCTGGGAGAAGCCGTGGTGTCCCTCTTGTGGGAGCTCTCCATGGTGCTGAACGGTGCTCCCTGTCTTGCATCCTGGAAGCTGCTTCTCAAGGTTGCCCAACTCCTGATCAAGCTCGCCCAGCTTTGCTCAGTGCTTTGCCTGTCCATAGATTACTTCCATCCAGTCCTTCCAAAGCCCACCACTAGGCCTCCTTGTTCTTGTGTAGCAGTAACTGGGGGTTCCGATACCTACGATCAACCAAAGCAGAGCTTCTCAATTTTGCTGGATCTGGCTCCCATCTCCTAAACCTCCACCACTTTTTATGCCCCCAGCAATATTCTTATGTTCTACAGGTGTATGTAGAGAACCTTTGATCCCCACCTGCACTTGAAGGTGAGGATCAAAGGTGTACTGACACTACAAAAAGAACAGAGCAACAGATCTCCAACTTTCAGTAAAGCTATTCACAAGGAACCCCCATCAGGATCTTTCAGGCTTTGGATGGCTCCTAGTAGAGTTGCTTCCTGCAGAGGAAAGCTGCTTCCAAGCAGGAGGTCAGGTGGGTCTCTGCCCTTTGCAGGATGTTGGAGAAGCCCCCAGAAAGGTATACACCAGCTTTCTTCAACCTGGTGTCCTCCAGATCTTTTGGGCTTCAGTGCAATGGTCAGGAATCCTGGACGTTGCAATTTAGGACATCTGGAGACAACAGGTTGGGGAAGGCTGGCTTATATGTGTCCAGCAGTGAGTAGCTTCAGGAACTAGCATGGTTACAAACAAAGGAAATACAAAGAAATATAAAGAAACACTCGGGGCATCTCTGATTACACTTGGATGATGGAGCACTTTGGGTACTTCCATCCTTCTACAAGCCTGCTGAAGATCAGTGAATGTCCTCTGCTGTGGGGCAGCCACCCAGCTCTTAACTGATGGGGGCAGAAGACACCCAAGCCTTGAACCTTTGCATCCCTGTCTCCCAAGATCTCCCCAGCTCTGTACGCCCTGCCTATTAGGGATCAAGTCACAATTCAAAACAAGGCTATGGTTTTCCCAGTTGCAATGTATGGCTGTGAAAGCTGGACCATAAGGAAGGCTGAGTGCTGAAGAATTGAGGGATGACCTCTCAACTGAATTCGGCAAGAGTACAGGCAGCCTGGGCCAACTTTGTAGCTCCAAGCAACTCTGCTCATTTCCAGTCCTAGTGCATTCAGGAAGGGAACCTGTTGGAGACCTGATATCTGACTTGGCCTTCTGGCCCACCTTACCTTGGAAATCTTCCCAGGAGATGGCATTCATCCAGGCCTATGGTGCAATGGCACTTGGAATACAGAGCCTGATTCTGCTCACAGAAATCCAAAATGAATGTTGCAGAATTGGAAAATGTGCAGAAAAAGGAGCTAGACCGACCAAGTGGCTGGAGTTACTCTCCTTTGAGCAGTTTGTGTGTGAAAGACTATTTTAACTTTTCACCTCATGACCACATGCATTTCATTGGTCAAAATGGCTTTTTCTTTCCTGCAAGAAACATGGCACTGGAGGTATCCAGAGGTCCTCTAGTCCACCCCCTAGGAATTCCAGGGCTACGTCATCCCTGATACAGGGACACAGTCATTCACCTTCTCCTTAAAAACCTTGGGTGATGGAGAAGTGACTGCCTTCCAAGGCAGTGCATGCCTCTTGGGATTGCATGGACCACATGTTGCCATGCCGACCAGAAAAGCAGTGTCTGCATAAACAAAAGAGCCACAAACAGGGATCATTTTTCCAAAATTGGATGCTGGAAGGAAGGAGCCCCAGGGGAGAATCCAAGCATGGATTCCTGGGTGCAGGAGGTGGTCAGACCCATCTGGTGCACGACGGAATTGCAGTATTTCATCTTGAAAGCCAGGGCTGGCCTCTGCCCACCGGGGCATGATGGAGGAGAAGAGGGCCCACCTGGGACTCACCTGTGCAGTGCTTCTGTAGGCGAAGGATTTCCAGGTGCAGGTCATGAAGGAGTTGCAGCTGCTCCTTCTTCAGGAATGCAATATGTCTTTGCACGCTTTGGATCTGGTGCTCCAGGGACTGCGTCTCCATCGCAACACAGTTCACTGCCGGAGCCTAGAGGGAATACAAATCCACGTATGAGTTTCCTGCGCAGCAAGGGCAGGGTGCGCAGAACCGGGCTGATGCACCCTGTTCGTCCTGAGCACTGGATTCACGTTGCGAGAGGTGGTGGGTGGGGTGGGAGAGCGCATGGGCAGGGCGGAGGCCAACGCAGAAAGTGCTAAAAAACTCCGAAGCCAGTCAGTTTGCACTCAAAGCTCCCACTGTCAGCAGCCAAGACTTAGGGGAGACTTTTCCCCATTTGAAGCTGGGCGGGGGAAGGTGTGTAAAAGTTGGGGAAGTGCTTCACAATTGCTTAGGGATCGGGGAAACCCCCATATGGGGATCCCAAGTTGTTCCACTGATCTGCACCCCGCCGTAGGAAATCCAAGTGACAGCTGTCTTTTCTTTGTACCTTTCTCTTTCCAGCAGTGCTCTAAATTCTCAAGTGGTTCACTTATTTTGTTTACCGAATCCATTAATACACTTCCAGGATATTGAAAGAGGTTCCCATTCGAGCCCGGGGTCATTGTGTGGCAATTCACAGGGACGTTTGTATCTTAGGATGCCCACCTTTACGCTTCTACAGAGCGCCTTTGTATTGGAACAACATTTGCTAACCAGCAGGTGTGATGCCCACAATGGCACAACGCATTTTGAGACGCATCGGACTTCTCATCAGGCAGCACAAAGCGAGACAGCTCCAAATGGGCAGCAACGAGGGCAGGGGGAAGTGCTGCTATATGGCCTGAGAATATTTGGAAAATGTGGCATTGCTCAAAACGCACCTGCCAGGCATGTTGTGGGCCCTTCTGCCCCACTGAGCCTGCTGGCAAAATGTGGGGATGAGCCAGTGGGCTTAGAAACCCTCTTTTGAAGAGAAATTAGCACCCCCCCCTTGCCCTTTCCAAGCTGCTGGACCTTGGTGGGAAATCTGGCAGTGTGGCAAACACTAAATCACTGGTTCTCGGAGTTCCAGGAGTGGCACCAAGTTTTCGGGAAACTGCCTCTCTAAATTAAGCTAAGGATTTCAAGTCACCCCCAGTTAAAAGCACAACCTTATTCAGCTGCTCCACAAGGCTGTCCGATTGAGTTCAGTGGGACTGACTCCAAAATCAAAGTGATAACGGCATCATTTAGTTATCAGCCATAGCAAAACCAGAAGGGGCATTCAAACTTAATCCTCAATGATCTGGCCACCAGCAAAATACGGAAACGTGCAAGACAGAGTGATTCTCACATATCAAACAACAGAAAACATACACATGCACGAAACTCTTCTTACCTGAGCCTAAACTCAGGTTAGTATTTTTCACAAAGGGCCCTAGCAAGAGAATGGAACAGAGCCCCTGGACACTCTGGCAGTAGGGATTTCTTGCAACAGCCTTTGAAGAAAGCTGAGCATGTAAGGTTACATCCGAATTCGGTGGAAGCGCTCCTATACTGAGGTAAGATGCAGAGAGCTGGCGTTCGGATGATCTGACTTCATGCATGGATGCAGTCTAGAAAATCTAGAAGAAAGGGCTATGAACCCATCAGTCAGAAACTCCAAAATCCATGTGCGCAGGATTTCAGCCTGAGAGTATGCACCCAAGGCACACTTGCTAGGGAGTAAGTCTTGCTGAAGACACACTTTTGGATAAGTGTGCACGGATTGTACACTGGCATAATTAAGTCTCTATGGACACCATGCTCCACCTCTAGGGCCTTCCTCCAAATGCCAACCCCACGGGGGGCTTGGAGGGTGGCAACATGGGGAGGGCCTTTTCTGTGTTAGCCCCCCCCCCATCTTTGGAACAGCCTCCCTGCTCAGGCCCTCCTGGCAGCAAACTTGCCATCTTTTTAGCACTGGGTCAACATTCACGGCACTCCTTCCTAAGAGCTGTTGAGCATCTAAGGCTGGTTGTGCTCCTGGTCAAAGTTGCTAATTGCAACTTTGGACTGGTCATGGAGCAGCCGAATGGCCGGTGGTGACCCCGGTGGGGAATGGGACCCTGGTCACTGCCCTACTATGCTGGGTATTGGCACTAGTGCAGAGCTGGATACAGGAAATAGCTATGTCTGACTAGCTTCTTTTATGCAAGTACCCAGGCTGAGCTTCATGGCACTTGGCTTCTTTCCTTGCGGAATATATGTGAATGGATGCACTGTGCTTTTCTTCTTCCGACTTTGTAATCCACCCAGAGAACCTCTGTAACTGGGCAGATTTAAAAACAGCAATACAATAAGTTACATAGTTGTCAATGGCAACCCATAGAAGTTAATAATGTAATGGAGTTGTTCTTACATGCGTATGTTTCTTTTTTCAAAGGAAGTGAGTCTTCCAAATAGTTTTTGACCAAGGAAAGTAAAAAATGTTTAGATGCCAGATCAAAGCACCACTGTGCTCAAGCTTGTCAAATTGTATATGATGCCCAGTATTGTTTGGTTATTTTCTTGTCTTTTATATGGTCCTTCAGCTCATATTGCATTAGCAGCAACCATTCCAGTAGGAGGGACAGAGAGGGAACAGGGCAGAAACACAATGCTTTCCTCTCCCCTCCCCATCCCCGTTTCCTTCTGTATCATGGCTATTTCCCACTCGAAGCCTGCAGGCAGGACTATCTTAATTCACATACCAGCAGTTTTGGGAACCCTTTCAGCTAAGGGGTAGGAAGCAAAAACACCTTCAATAAATAAGCTATTTATTTTGTAGGATGCTCTGTATAAATCATGCACCATTCGGAACTCTTATTCAAATGATGGATAGCATTCTTTTTAGAAAAAGCATTAAATACCTAATAAAGAAATGGAATCACGGAAGTATAACACCCTCTGCTGGGATTTAGCATTTCAGGATCCTTGGCTTTCAGAGCCTTTAGGATTGCGGGGCCAGACACAAATGCCAGTCAAGGCAGAAGTGGCTATCAGCTTGTGTGAAGACTGTTATGCTGGGGAAAGCTGAAGGCAAGAGGAAGAAAAGGGACTGACTCCAGAGCCCCGAATTTACGAAAGCTTGCACTGTCATGGATGGGACCTTCTGGAGCGTTTCCCTTCATAGGGTCACCATAAGTCAGAGATGACCGACGGCTCAGCGCAACAAAGACGAGGGAGATGACATAAAGCCGCTCCATTGCAGGGGACGTCTCCCCAGTGTTTTGGGGATGCAATTTTCGTCTGTATCTTCTGGCTAAGGAGCTCCTCTTCCGGCTGGACTCATTCCAGGGGGAACAGAGCTGTGTCCATCTGGTGCAGCAAAGTTTCCAGAGATGCCAGATCTGGCATTTGCTTTCACGGGGCCAAGCTGATTTCCCGGGTTTCAGGTACATACGCAGCAGTCAGGAAGAGATGAGAAAAGAACCCGCCCTGCCGTCGCCAGGTGGCCCAGCCAAAACCTGTGGAGGGGTTTCTCCCTCAAGGTCTGCCACTGATGCTACAAGAGCCGAAGCACCGGCCTGGGCGCTAAGTTCTCCTGTGCAGGCGGCTGAACCCAAAGGCGCGGAGATAATGGTTCAGTGCTGCTGTTCGCCAGACGAAGTCTCTCCCCGACACTGCCCAGCCCCCCAGCTTGCTCCCGGAGATGCTCTGGGGGGATGCTGGGAATCGAATGTGGGACCTCGGATGGGCAAAGGGGGTGCTTTCCTCCAAAGCCGGCCCCCTCCCCTAACCGGTGGTGTTGCACCCGTGAGTGCCAAGCCCAGGAAGTCGCATCTTTTCCTCCTGCGCAGCTTGAGAAGAGAGGACCCCTGGGCATGCACTGAGGGAACCGGGAGGCCGAATCTCTGCTCGCCTGCTTCTGCCCGGGACAGCCAGCCGGAGGGTTTGCCGTGAGCTTGCGTCTCCTGCACAGATGCACGGAGCGCAGGTTAGGACGGGTCCTTTCAGGACCGCGGACAGCGGCCTCGGCCCGCCGGAGCAGCAGCCCCATCTTTGCAGAAGGCGCCCCGCGCGCGCCCTCGTCCTCCGCGGCCTGCGTCCGCAGCGGGGTGGGCTGGATGACCTTTGAGGTGCCTTCCACCGCTAGCAGCTGAGGGTCCCGTTCCCACCGGCTCTGCCTCTGCCCGTTTACGGGGCACGGCGGCCCCGCACCAGGACCGGGCAGCAGCCCGCGGGGCGCCCCCGCGGTGGCGTCCTCGGCGCCCCACCCCCGCTCCCCCGGGGCTCGCCCCCGCTCCGTCCGACTCACCTCTGCGCAAGGGGGATCGGCGACCGCAGCGGGGGCTCCGGGTGGCGCAGCGGGGCGGCATCCACAGAGGGAGCTTGCGGGGCGGGCGAGGGCGAGGGGCGCGCCCGGCGGCGCCGGGGGTCTCCGCGCCGCGCCCTCGCCGATCCCCCGCAGCGGCTGGGGGAGATGCCGGCGAGCTCCCGCTCCTTCGCCGGCCCCGCGCCGGCCCCCCTCTTCCTCCTCCTCCTCCTCCGCGCCGCCGCCGCCGCCGGCTCTCCTTCAAAGGCTGCTGCGCAGCGCGCGCAAGGGCAAGCAGGGCCGCGCCATGGGCTGCTCCTCCTCGCCGCTGCCGCGCCTCCCCGGCCTCGCCTGCTGCTGGCGCCGAGGGCGAGGGCGAGGGCGCGGGCGCGGGCGCGCCGGGCAGGAGCGGCTGGCCGCGGGGGCCGCGCGGCGGGGGCGAGGCGGCCCGGGCGTAAAC